CTATAGCTACACCCACCAAAATTGACTCTTCCCTTAAAATTTGCTTACAAGTCACAAGCATACATGTCATAAGCACCATAATAGCACAAAATAAATAAAGAGAGAGAAAGATGAAGGGGAACAGGTATTTAGTTACTATCTAATATCAAATAAGATATAGATGAAAATGTATCACCTAATAAATAGGTATTAAATATAGTACAAAAGATGTCATATACACTAATCTAACAACATTGTGTACCTATGATAAAAAAATAATGACAAAATTTCTACCATATGCACCATTGAGTATTATTCAAAATTTAAACTAACACAGTTTTGCCAAATATGGAGATTTATATTGTATATAGTAAAGAAGAATTTTCAAAATGCAGAGTGTTATGATAACACATACATCAACAAAAGCAGCAAGTCATACATTACACAAAATACCATTACATCACATGATCACAGAACAGTGCATCGTAATCTGTCGTATCATTCTACCTACACTTGAGGGTACAAGATAAAGCAAGAAAGAAAGAAGATACTTACAGCAGCTACAGCAGGTAATTGAGTAACTGATTGGCTTTATATTGAGTTGTTTGTATCAATAAGTGAACAGCTATACTTATAAACAAGAGCTAGGATTATAAATGTATACTGCTAATGAAACTAATAATCTGAGACAATTATAATACGTTACACGAACTTTCATTTCATAGTAAGGTCTGTTTTACTATATAAACATCATGCATGTATTTGAAGTAGTCAGGTGGGGCCTGACCCTCAGGCCCTGCCTAACTATATCTGAAGCTGATGCATGAACACACATTTAAAGTTATAGCCAGTAGTGACTTACATGAGGGGGTTATTGCTAACGTTGCGATTATCTAATTGTTTTTAAGAATATAGAACACTAAAGGATTGAGTACATGACTGACAAATGACAATTAAACATTTATTTATTCTAATTAACTAGTTTTTTTCATTATTTTTGACTTCCTGTCATTTAATGTAAGTAAAACAGTTCTACATTTCAAGCAGAAGTGCTTGGGTGGTATAGGCAAACATTGAGTACTTCTTCACCCTCTTGGGTTTACGTATACATTTATAAACACCTCCAGATGAAGCAATGTGAATGAACTTTAGGCTTATAATGATGTATCATTAATTTTTTCAAATATTTAATATCAAACACTATAACACTATAGGACTACTTCACATGCTTAATTGATGGCGCAAAGTAAGATATTACAATAATAATTATGAACACAATAATCACTATTAATAGATACAGATATTGATACACTTATAAATAATTTTGAAGGTCAGTACTGTAAATAATTCAACATAACTAGTGTAGTTTTTACACTACAGAAGAAATAAAAAAATTAGATGATGCTGGCAAAAAGTACACAATTGAGTCTGTAAAGAGAAAATTATGGGCAATAGAAAAAAATATGAAAGAAGAAAACGTTTTGTACGATTGGGATGAATACTTCATGAGTATTGCATGTTTAGCTGCTCTAAGGAGTGAAGACAAAAACTCTCCAGTAAAAAATAATTATAGTTAATTTATTAATTAACATCTAATTTATGTAGGTTGGTGCATGCATTGTGAGTCCACACAAGACAGTAGTTGGTGTTGGATATAACTCAATGCCAAAAAATGATAAAGGCAACTTTCCGTGGAAAGGAAGAGAAGGATCATCATTTGAAAAATCCCGATATGCTGTAGATAAAAAGTTTTTGTATGGTGAGATAGAACTAAATACATGCACATGTTACTTGTAATTATTCTAAAATTGCAGTTGTTCATGCTGCAGTAAATGCAATTGTTAACAAGACTATTCCCAGTCTAGAGGGATGTACTATATACACTACAATGCCACCAGCTAGAGATTGTGCTCATGCTATTATTCAGTCAGGAATAAAGGTTTGTAGTGTGGTCGTAACAACTGTTATTAGCAAAACAGCAAAAGAAAATAAAAAGAGAAGGAAGAAGGGATTTAGAGAGAAAAGAGAAAAGGAAGGAAGATTGGGAATAGTTTTTAAGAGAGATGAGGGAAAGAGAAGTTACAGAAATGATAAAGATAATGATAACAAAGTTCTCTGACAACATAGGACTCACACTACTAAAATTCAGTTCTCTATGAGTGCAGTGAGAGCAATGATGAGACGATTTGTTGAGTTGATACTTGATAGTAGAACGAGACGAAGACGACGAACGAACGAACGACTAGACTGACTGATTAATGTATGTGTGTATGTATATTAAATAGTTGTTGACCACGTGTAAACTCGTGGTTACTATAATCAATAACAAGCCACCACAGGTTGTAAAATATGAAGAATTCTATGACAACACAAAAAGGGAAGAAGAAAGTGATATCAGAGATGCAAAGCTGTAAGTGCTCCATGAAAATTGGCAAAAAAAGATTTAAACATCAAACAATATATGAAAAGGTATTCAAAAACATAGGGTTACGAGACCTTGCATCTTATCCTAATGTTATCAAACTGTGTGATCCAAAGATGCAATATGAAGTCTATCCAGGAGCATCACTTCATATACCTGTTAGTGTACTAGACAATGACAATCGTCCAACATATGCACTTGTGACGGCAATAGCTGCTCAGAATCAAGTTAAAAAGCTTGGCTGGTGGTTTTCAAATAATCAGCAA